TTACATATGAAAACCTTAAGATGAAACGAACGATTTATTTTGAAATGTTATTGCTGCATCCCCTTTAATCTTCCTATCCTTAGACAATTATCAAGTTGATTATTAGCCATGATATATATGACCTAAGCTATGATAGGTGAAGGAGCTTCGATACGTTAATTACATTAGATATAGTTGTAAAAGTCTATTTTCGTTGACCACAATGTATCATCACTTAATTTGGCGAAAACCTTCGACACGATTTAATTGAACTTAATGATAATGTTACGAAAGCTTTATCTGCATTTCTTTAATCATGCAGGCGGTAAGTGTATGAAGTAGGTTAGTCATTCTATCTCACCCCTTTAAATAACATCGCTATATGGCTGAGATAATGCCGATGCGACGTTAAATTTTAACTTACTTAACTTACCCTTTAAATAACGATTCATCAATAGTTCCTAATGTCATAGTTTACTGTTTTTGAGGGGGCACGGGTGGCCCAGTCGTCAAAGGCACCGCAATTCGCTGCGTCCCTTCGGCACACCAGAAACCTATGATTGTGGGTTCGAATCCTGGTTCGCCCAGATTATGTTTCTTGGTTTGTCAGCACCATACCCGTGCTCGTGGGTTTCACCGAAGTGGTAAACATCTAAGACCTGCATCACTTCTCACATTAAGCTGACATGAAGCAATAAAAATGGAATACTGTTTGTTAAAAGCGGCGTTAAACCCAACTCACTCATTCGCTACCTTTTTGAAGCGAGGTAAAATATGTCCATGCTTTTATTAGTCGTAAAAGGCGACTAACGGGATCGGGTGGTCAGGCTCGCTGACTTGGTTGATGCATCACATCGATCCCAATAGCGTGGATCGATGCTCATGATATCAATCACTGGATTGTTTGGTCCAGACCGCCGTCATATAGCTGGAATATTGCTGAGTGCGGCGTTAAACAACAAACCAACCAACCAACATGTACGAACGTGTGTATGTACTGTCATTTTCTTTTTTGCTAGACCCAAGAGCGAGTAGTAGCAGCCCGTACGTAGTAGCACTGGTAGTAGTATTACTTGTCGCAACAGCTGTATGCTACATCTGTTACCGCAAGGGTCGGTCCTCCACAAGGTCAGTATGTACAGTTGCAACATTTTTTTCAGCCATTTATGATCGTTGATGACAGAATGAGAATTAAGCCTGGGTATTTTGTTGGGATCTTCTTAATCTTCACTCAGTATCCTTCGTAAGCTGGAACTACTACGTAAGCTAATTAGGTTTTTTTCAACAACATCCTTCAAAACGACAGATTTTAGATATGCCATACTGACATTACTGCCTCCTTTGTGTATTTGATAGAGCGTCTGCCCGGATAACGGTAGGTCGATGGTTCGGTCCCGTGTCTGCATCAAACCACAAGACGTTAAAATATGGTAGTTGTTGAAACCCTCAATATTAATGGTATAAAAATCAAGGACTGGTCGTCTCAAAGTCAGTATAACGTGTCTGAATTGGTTATTGATTTTAACATTTGGAACAGAACGCGCGGTTAAATCTACAGGTAACCTTGCTCTACACTGAAAACACAGTATGTTTATCTCCTAAATGACCTCTGCCCAGATCTTGTCAGTTTATTCTGATGTATACAAAGGAGATGTTTCTCATCAGAACGGAGGGATCTAGATGGTTGATACACCTGGATAAGGTCAGATAAGTAGGGAGGTGCTGACCTGTTGTAGCAGTGGTACGTTAAGGTCACAATCTTGAACTGAATTCGGGCTTCAACTGGGAGCACATGTGTTATATGCGCTGACATTTTGCTTCTTTGCTTCTTGACACAATCCTTGACACAATCTGCTTAGAGATGTTACAAAGTAGACTATTGCAGTAATCGAGTCTGACTGCTCCGATACTTCTAAGGTGTAAATGGCATGATCTGCAGATCTATGAGATATGTTGTTCCATTGCGAGTACACTCTCAAAAAGGACGCCAAGAATGTTTATACAGCGTCCGATAATTTTATTTGAGATTGTCAAACATTAACCGATGTAACATCTCCTATGGACATTAATCCGGACTAGTACAAACATCCACACATACATTTACATGGAATAATCTTGAATGCGACGTTAGTCCCTATTTCACCCCTCCTCATCCTCATAACGGTGACGACAAGATTGGCGGTAAAACAAAACTAATTTAAGTAAAATTATAATTATAATTTCTTAATCCACATTTGAAATGGTATGTGCAATGTCAAATAACGCCCTTTTCGATCATAATTTCGGAAATGTGAAATTAATATCCATTAAGATAAACACTATCTGCTTCAATGAAAGGATATTAATGTGTTTCATAGAATAATCTTTATCAAAATATGTTGTATACATTCCTGATACATGGTAATTGTTGTGCTTTCTAATGCCGGGTAACTGTGAACTATGCATTCGTGTTGGCTTTTGTTATTTTCAAACATTAATACTGTATGCATTATGTCGTTTCACAGAAACACATTCAGGTGTGTGATCTGCTGGGATCACAATTACACAGGGAAATGTTTTCTTACTTTTTGAAAGCCCCTCAATGTGGCATTTGAACAAAACTAGGTTATCAACAATAATCAGTTGGGCTTATTTGATAACTCAAACAGAAATTCCTATATGCACCGCGTTGACAAACATGGTTATCGCGTGAGGAAAACATTATTTATAGCAATCGTTCTACATTCAGGGAGTGAGTGTGTGAGTTGAATATATTTTAAGTTGTAACATTGCTCGTGGGAGGGGAGCATAACTCATCTCAGGTTTTCGTCGCCTGCCACTTTAATTAAATCAAAAAATTTGGTGCTGAGAAAAGAAAACAATGAGGATAATTTTAGGCTGATCGCAGAATTCCTCTGACACATGACTGAACTTAAGTATTTATAAATGAAATTTGACGAAATTCGTTTTCTATCGCATCTATTTGATACTTGTTTGGGGGCTAAACCAAGGACGTGTCGGCTCGGAGTGAGTATACATTGTCTGAATGGGGTATTCATGTTTAACTGCGACTTGATATATACTACAAAGTTGACATATGCATTAGTCCGGACTAGCACCGCGCCGCCCCCCCCCCCCCCCCCCCCCAACACACACACACACCTCACCTCACCACATATCACCTCACCTATAACTAAAAATACAAAAAAACACCAGGGTAAAGGGGTGGACCTTGAGGGCTAAAACAGAAGCCCGAACTGCCGATGCAATGTGTGCATCCCATTTCTTTCATATAGCTTTAATATTATATATATTATTATTTTTTTATATAAGCGGAGAGAAACCAAAACCACTGCCTAACTCAAATACAGTCACATGTAATATGTGGCATAATGAAACAAATGTTCCGGTGACCCTTATTTCGCCTACTTAATTTATATAAAGTGATCTTTATCTGATTTATTATAGATCCCACTACCAGGACGAAGGGAGCTGTTCACAGAGTATGGATGAAAGAGAAGAAAACTTCCGACCTGACGCAGATGTTGCTACAGCTTCGAAACAACGCAACTCTGAACACATTTACCATGATATTGATACAAGTGAAATGGGGCCGGTGATTGTGTTTCTCTAGATACTGGTAATCAAATAAGGGGTTGTAGTAAATGAATGTTATTGATCTTAACCCTACCAACATGAGGCAAGACACGTAGTCGAGTGACTAATATTTTAATCATTTTACAACTATTTTGGATATAGGACGAACTCCCCAAATGGTCGAAGATTTTTATCCGCGAGAATCTAAGAACGCACATATATGTTTGACTTATACTGAAAGTATGCCAGATTAGTGTATATTTGGCAGAACAGATCAGCTGCATTGTGTTAATTACAAATTGAACATTCTGTGCATGTTTAACGCTTGTTGCTTTGCAATTCTGCACACCCAAAAACGTAACGAAATGTCGCTTCAACATTTGTCAGCTGATTTTGACGAGTTTCAAACAATACTTTATTTATCTTTACTTTTTAGACCAGCGAAGATCCGGGGTAGAATAGGTCTAAAGTAACCCATGCTTGCCGTAAAAGGCGATTATCCTCATCGTTAGAGGCGACTAACGGGACCGGTAGGTTAGGTTCGCTGACTTGGTTGATACATGTCATCGTATCCCAATTCCGCGCCGTGGATTGATGTTCATGTTGTCAATCAATGGATTGTCTGGTCCAGACTCGATTATTTACAGACTGCCGTCATATAGCTAGAATATTTCCGAGTGCGGCGTTAAACAACAAACAAACAAAATCATATAAATAATTTCGGAAATAGAAGTACATAGTGTAATTAGTATATAATTTTATATATTTTCCAATGGTGTGCTTTAATGACGTTTTTGACCTTGTGTGTTTATGCTTCTCTGTTTTTTTACTTAATCATTCATAGTACGTTTTGAATATATTTCCTGTCCCTTGCTATCGGTCTTCCCTTATTTCCCGTACGACTCTGTCACATAGCTACTTGTATAAATCTTTGTTTCATTCACAGGATGAATGGGCAAGAAGTAGCCTCGAAATGTTGTGTATAAAGAATTATATATACTCTCCATCTTGTATTCTAAACATCAGGACTCCTTACACGACAATTTCATCTAATTAACTATGTTATAATGTTTTATGTCGGGAACATATTGTTGTGTCCTGCCCAAGCAGTAAAGATCTAACTTAATTAGTATTTGTTAAAAGATTCATTCAAGTAAAGGCTTCCACTCCAGTATAGGTCTGAGATTTGTCCCTTTATAATAAGGGACCTAATTTTTGGAATGAAATTCACAATAAAATTTTAGTAAGCCGAGGAACTCGTTTGGTTATCAATAGTCTAAATTTAGACGTGCAGCACACCTGTTAAACATGTGTACTTGTTTGGAATGCCAAATGGTCTAAATTTAGACGTGCAGCACACCTGTTCATGTGTGACACACAGCTCCTAACAAAGAAACACTCGCAGGCATAGGACAATCATAAAGCCCACTGCGCCCCAGTGTGAATCGGACTGTGGAAAGGGACGGGAACGAAAACATATACATGTAGTTCGTGCTTGTAATGGATTCACGTTCTCTGCTCAGATGTTATAACGGATGTTAATTAATTCCTAATTGAGAACCTGGTAAGTGAAATATTAATATCCATCAGGGTATACACTGAGCATAATTACTTAAAGTTTATAATAGTGACATTATAGGTCGTTACCTTGAACTGATAATTATTAAGTAATTACAGTTTTTGTGTCTATTTCTAAAAACGAAGGACCCGTGAAGATTCCGGGATAGAACAGGTCTTCAGCAACCCATGCTTGACGAAAAAGGTGACTATGCTTGTCGTAAAAGGCGACTAACGGGATCGGGTGGTCAGGCTCGCTGACTTGGTTGATGCATGTCATCGATCCCAATTGCGTGGATCGATGCTCATGATCACTGGATTGTCTGGTCCAGACTCGATTATTTACAGACTGCCATCATATAGCTAGAATATTTCCGAGTCCGGCGTTAAACAACAAACCAAATCTAAAAACGACTGACTGACTGACTGACTGAGTATGGTTTTTACGCCGCTTTTAGCAAAATTCCAGCAATATCACGGCGGGGGACACCAGAAATGGGCTTCACACTTTGTACCCATGTCGGGAATCGAACCCGGGTCTTCGGCTTTAACCACTACCTACCCGACCGCCCCTCTAAAAACGAAAGTAGGACGGATCATCTTCTTCCCGAATTTTTAGCTTCAAACTTGTTTTGTTCGTTCAACTTTGTTGACAGTTATATGTGTCATTTAAATGCATTATATATGATCAATTATGAGTTCTGTCCAGATGTGAGTTTTGCCGTTTGTGGAAATATTACAGTTGTAGATACATTTCTGTCCGGAAGTCATTTGTCACAACAACACAACGGAAATTTAATTATATAACAGTAATTGTTGATTACATTACTAGAATATAAAGAACATTTGTATTTATATACATGTTAGTATAATAGGTACATATCTTATTCTGACGTCGTCGTATTTCCCACCAACTGAAACTGTCAAACCGCACTACAATAAGCAATGCCAGACCGGGTGATCAGGCTCGCTGACTTGGTTGATGCATGTCATCGTATCCCAATTGCGTGGATCGATGCTCATGGTGTCAATCCCTGGATTGTCTGGTCCAGACTCGATTACTAACAGACCACCGCCATATAGCTGGAATATTGCTCGGTGCGGCGTTAAACAACAAACAAACAAACATATCTTAATCGGTATTTCCTACCAACGGAAAGTGTCAAACAGCATCACAATAATCAATGCTAGACATGGCACACGGTTTAGAGGCCGCCTTCATATAGCTTGACTGTGGCGTTAAACAACAAACAACCGAAACTATTTCCAAGTGTAAGTTACATCGAGAGCAATAGCTGCTACGAATTTTTAAATGTCCGTTCATGGTAATATATATTCATTGAAGAAAGTTTGAGGAACCAGGACAGGTACTAAAGTGTTTCATATTGATTTCCGATACGTTGAAATGTCTCAGAATATAAACATCGTCAGTACTTCACGGGTTCGTTACCTGTGAATACGTACGGCCCCTTGGCGGTGTCGTGTGACCTGTGTCTATTTTGATATAGTACATGAAATAAAGTTATTCATTACACGTAGCAGTGATATGAGCCCAGCTTTGTGCAGTATTTAACATATGAGGGTTTAATCACTCGTTCGTTTCCCCCTCGCTGGAATCTGTCTGTGTCTTGATTCGTTTGTTAAAATAATAGTATATTGCACACAGTAAAACAGTCGTTTGTTTTCACGGGTGATAGAGGAACGTCGTGTATACAAAACCCTGTGAAGTAGTGTTGATGTAATCTATGAAAGAATATATTTGTTTATCATGAAAACACATGTGTTAGTTATGTAATTAGAGCATTGTAAATTGCAAGCTTTTTCGCTTATATTGGTGTTGTTATCTAACACGTATTTTCCATGCAATAAAAGTCTGCTTACCATGATCAAGGATTTACTTTTGAGAAAACGTTTTGCTTAACAATGGCTGTGATTCAGGGACGGAAGACGTGAATCATGCTTGTCGTACGAGCTGACTGCAAATAGAGGCCACAAAACCCGTTACATATTCGTTAGAAATATTTGTCAAAAACGACTGTACGATTCCAGCTATATCATGAGCGTGTGTTAATGAATCACTGCCATACATAAGGGAGCTAACTTCTCTTCCACCGAAATCATTTCATAACTGAATTGCGTAAAATCAAAAGGTTTCAATACACGCAACTGATGTCGCGCTTTTATCAATTTCTGCTTACATTCAAAATTTTAAGTCAACATGGTCTTTAATTATAGGTCAATGCGCCCATGGATGAAATCAGTCACAACAATTTCATATACGCATATGTACGTATACGTCCGCAAAGAAAGTTTGTTTGTTTGTTGTTTAACGCCGCACTCAGCAATATTGCACCTATATGACGGCGCTCTGTAAAAGAAATTGAGTCTGGACCAGAAAATCCATTGAATGACATCATGAGCATCTATCCACGCAATTAGGATACGATAACATGCATCAACTAGTCAGCGAGCCTGAACACCCGATCGCCCATTAAGACAAGAATACTCGCCTTTTACGACAAGCATGGGTTGCTGCGAAGTTTGATGTATTAGGTATAAAGGATTCAAATGGAGACATCGTAAAAAATATTTTGAAATACCTTCTAAATTGACCAAGCTCTCTCAGCGTGGTTTCGTTATAAGTGATATTCGGCCGAGCGATTAATCGAGAATATACGGCAGGTCAAAAGCAAGAAATACAAGTATTTGTCACAAAGTGACGAAATGTCCCCCGCCTGTATATACACCATAGTACCAAATATGAAGACAATCCAGCGATTAGTTCTTGAGATATCGCGGCAAAACCGTTTTCCAACTCCAAAAGCAGATTTGCCTGCTGTGACCTTGAAATTAGGGTCAAGGCTACCAAAACCGACTGGAGTCTTCATATACACCATAGTTCCAAATATGAAAACAATCCAGTGTTTAGTTCTTGAGATATCGCGGCAACACAGTTTTCCAACTCCAAAAGCAGATTTGCCTGCTGTGACCTTGAAAATGAGATCAAGGTCACCAAAACCGACTGGTGTCTGCGGTGTCTGTTTATACACCATAGTTCCAAATATGAAGACAATCCTGCGATTAGTTCTTGAGATATCGCGGCAACAAACAGGTGGGACGTACGTACGGACGGTCGTAAATACTATATCCCCCGCTTCGCGCTTTCGCGCGGCGGGGGACAATAATCAGGGCGAGTCGGGAACTCGAAATCATATATATAGGGGACGCGACTCTGTGCATGGGATTCATGAATTGTAGCGGGTGAGCGATTTTGGTTTAACGCCACTTTGAGCAATATTTCAGTTATATCACAGGCTGCCAGCTTGATGTGGGAGGAAAAAACCCTATTGTGTATGGAGGGGCGCGAACCCACGATCACAGGTTTCTGGTACGCCAAGGGGACGCTACTCCCTTCATGGAAGTAATCGATTAAATGCCGGGTAGATGTTTGATTTAAGGCCGCTTTAAACAAAAATTCATTTATTTCAAAGCGTGTCTGCTTGGATGGGTGACCGTGTTCGGATGCTTGGCTCCTGAGAGTTTCTAGGGTTTCGGTCCTGTCACAGGCTATTGCATAACACATGTACCACCAGGACTTACAACGAACGAAAATTGTGAATTATATTCATCTTCAATACTCCATCTTTTAAAGTCGAGAAGTTATTCTCTGGCGTTGATACTTTTTTTATTCACATGACCTATACATGAGATATATACTCTTCAAAACAAGCAGGGGATCATGAAATATAAATGACATGATCGTCAGAAGAAAGATGAGCTTTGGAAAATGATTGCAAGGGATAGAACACAGACACACACGCACACAGGCACACACACACAGACACACACACACACACACACACACACACACACACACACACATACTCTGATTATATTAAAAAGCAAGTATCAAAATGATCCTGTACCCACACAGACATACAAGTTTTAAACCCTAAGGTCAATTTAATATAGCCTATTTTGGGGTTTAACACCATTTCAAACACAACCAAATGGCAGTTGACCTAATTACTACTTATTCGTAAGCAAATACTACAGAATACACTTACATCCACAGCAATTCAGTTTGTTTTCATAGGATTAAGAAGAACCAGTTCACATTCAGCCAATCAAATTAAATTATACATTCGATACAAAAGAACACATACGAAAACTTGCTTTGTTATGTAATTCAAAATGTCACGGCTTATTTTCAATTTATTTTCATAACATCTTGGTTGTAGATGAATGCGCCAAGTGAACGAACGCGAGTCACAACAATTACAAAATGTGCATACATACGTCCGTGAAGGAGCTAAGTCTGTGAGTTAAAGGGTCGTCGGTTAACTGAAGTTTGAGGCATTAACTCCGATTAAGTATATATGATTCAAACATAGATATAGAAAAACTATTTTTGTGAAATTCGTGAGTGAATGAGTATTGTTTAACGCCGCTCTGAACAGAACTTCAGTTATGGCATGTCAGCTTGTTGTGTGAGGATAGTCAGAAGTGATTTAGGTCCAAAACAAGAAACATAATCAGGACGAACCGAGAATTTGAACACACCCTCATATGGTTCTGGCACGCCTAGGGGACGCCACTCTGCACAGCGAATTCATCGATTTCAGCGAGTTTATTTATAATAACAATAATAGTCCATTAGTAGGGCACTTTTTTTCATGCTGAATATCATGCTCAAGACGTATTATTACCCCGGTCATTCTCATATCCAAGGGGAGTATATTGACGACCTAAGCTGCCTGTGATGCGCTGGAAGGTTAACAGCCATATTGTGTCATATCATCTTACCGGGTACCCATTCACTGCTGGCTGAACAGTGGCATATTTCGAAAAAAGTCTCTTGCCCAAAGAGACACCACATGAGTTACCCTTGAAACTCTCAGGAGCCAAGCAGACGAACACGGTCACCCATCCAAGGACTCCCCGTGACCTGTGGTTTGATCGCGACGCCGCTTTGAACAATATTTCAGTTATTTCACAGCGTGTCAT